CTGGCAGCTGTCGCTGCACAGGTCTAGAACTTCTGATTGAATGATTAGTATGTTAATCCCCTGGTCAGAACTAAAGTCCTATAAAAATTGAAAAGATCTTTGACTATTCAGAAAGTGAGTGGTTTGCAATTAGGCTTCAAGAATGCTTCCTGTAAACTTCTTATCTTGCATATTTAAAAAGTCTATAGTGTTGTAAATATTACTTTTGTATTTAAATCAATGAGAATTTTTCATCCCCATTGAATATAACAAGTTACTTGTGGTTTGGTTGTTCGGTTTTGGTTTTTTGCATTGAGGCCTGTAATTGTTTGGTGTTACTGTAATGTTAATGTACCCTGCAGTGTAATAATTTGAGATAAATATGTGAAATCTTTTTTACACAGCTATAAGTAGTTCTTCTTCTGATGACAGTGATGAAGGAACAGATGAAGAAATAAAAAGTGAAGAAAGTGACATAGAAGAGAGGACAGAAATGGTATATTCATGAGCTCCTTAACTTAGTAGAATTTAAACATCTGTATTTGAAACTCTGGAAAAATTGAAGTATATGGAATGTGGGCCACAGCTGGCTATTTAGCTGGAATTAAAAGCATTATTTTCTTGCTCCTGGTGCTTAATGTGGTTGAGTTTAAAATTCTACATGTCATATTCTTGTAGAATTCTTTCATACTAATTTCCTTTCCTGTTTTTCTATACATAAGGCTTATATGGAGAAAACACCAGACTAGATTATCCGGATTTGTGGGTGCTGTAGCATTTTACTGGTCTGTGTAGGTTGGACATCTTCTGTGAGCAGCAGGATCTTTCTGGGTTTTGTATTTTATTATGAAATGGGCATATCAACTCTGGTCTTAAATTAAAATGTAGATGACTGAATTCAAGGAAAAACATTAATCTGTGGAATCTAGTTACTACAGTGTGGGTGATGTGAAGCAGCAAAACTTATCAAGTTTCTGATCATTCTTTTCTGTTAAATACTTAAAGCTTATTTTTTTAATTTAGCATTCGATTAAAAATGAATTCGCAGGTTACTTGACAACAGTATTGTTAAATTTCTTGCAGCAAGGCTGCTATCGACTTAAATATTTACTATATTTAATGTATTTTATTTTTGCATGACAGAATTTGATTGTTATTTGTATCCTGACTACTGAAGTTCTTTTTCACTAATACTCATAAGCACAACCAATATATATACTTTTTTTTCCTTGCACGGGTCTGTTGTAGAAAGAAGAACAAGACACTCATACAAAAAGGGACATGGAAGAAAGAGCGATAAATATAGAAATTCCTGAAGTCTTGAAAAAGAAACTTGAGGAAGACTGTTACTATATTAATAGAAGAAAACGGGTATAAAATAAAAGCTGTGAAATAAATGTGCATGGCGGGGGGGGTGGGGAGAGCATCAAAAATCATTCTTCTCTGTAACAACTTCTGGTCTTTTGAACTTCATTGCAAAGGTGAGCTTAGACAGTGTAAGGAGCAGACCTCTATAGCTAAACCAGTGAGTTGTCATTGTAACATTTCAGTACCCAGTTGTATTTTAGAGTGCAGATTTTTTTTTTTTTAAAACTGGAAATGTAATAAGCTCATTAATGTGAACACTTTTTTTTGTTTCTCCAGGTGTTTAGAAAGGATTGATCAAAAATGCAGTTTAAGGGTTCAGATTAAGCACTCCAGAAATAACTTAATGCAATAGAGACTTACTAAACTAGTCAGTACATTACAAGCTCCTGTTCTAGCTTGGTGTACGAACCAGTTGTTTCTGTAAGACATTAATTTGTTGTTTCTTTTCCAGCTTGTGAAGCTGCCTTGTCAGACAAATATAATAACGATCCTGGAATCGTATGTGAAACATTTTGCAATTAATGCTGCTTTTTCAGCCAATGAAAGATCTCGGCACCATCAGATGACTCCACACGCTAATATGAATCTTCATTATGTGCCACCAGAGAAGAAGTAAGTAATCATCAGTCCAGCACTCGTCACAGGAAGAGTGATTTTTGCATTCTGTTTCAAGGCTTTTAGCTTCTGTGAGCTCATACTGTGATGTATGTCTGTTCATGTGGCTTAAAATAACTGTACGGATACCTATAGTACAGTAACACTGACAATTTTTCAGTGAAAGAGTCCCTATAATCTGAAAAGTCATTATGCAAAACCATCAATATCTCCTTTATCATGTAAGTTCTTGTGAATATTGTGACCCATTTTGAAACAATGTGTTGCTATTGTCTGAAGATTTTTTTTTTTGAGCAGAGAGAGTATCTCTCTGATGTGAATGATGGGAAGTCAATGAGAATTCCCAGCTTAAATAAAACTGAACAGGTTCAAATTTTATATAGGATAAAAATTTTATACAGACAATTATAGAGAACTCCAAGTGCAGGTGATTTTTTTTTAATATATCTTAAATCCTAGAGTCAATATGTAGGG